ACCGTGTACTAAAATAGTTCTACTTTAGTTAAAGCAGGTGACTGAATTGAATTATATATAAAATTGACCAGCTGAGTTTTGTGATCAGGCAAATATATTTTTCTATTCAGACTTTCCTTACCAAACCCATTAATGTTTAATTGCCAGTTAAGGCATAGCAAAGGCTATATCTAAATCTGAAAAGTGAATATCAGAGAGCAGCGAGAAGTTGATCAGACCGAACTAGTAAAAAATTTGTGATTTTTTGTGCTTGAATCTTTTTGTGCACAATCTTTGAAAACATTTTGATAGAGAACTTTTTTATACAGCTTTTATATAGAGAATATTCCATTATCAGTAGAAAATAACGTTTCTGTGTTGTTTTCGTTTTAATAGAAACTTAAGTATTTAGTGAATTTGTTTGAGAGAAAGCACTTTTGGGCAAGATACAGCACTTTTATGCGAGATACAGCACTTTTATGCGAGATACAGCACTTTTATGCAAGATTACGCTTCTTTTAAATTGTAATCAAATTTTAAGCTTAATTTGAATATCTAAATTACTTTGCATTCAGTAAAGAAGTACGGAGACGCAACAACAAAATAGATTAAAAGACTAGACTCGGATATTTTTTTAGTATGTCATTTATTGGTAGTTATTAGTCTTTCTTTATGAAATAGATTATATCTTTGCTATTTTGTAAAAAAAATTATTTTTTATTTTCAATTCTGATAGAAATTATGATATTCCTATCTATTGAAATTCTATTAGTTATGCATTTAAGTTAAAATTTAATTGCGGTGCTAGCAGTTTTCCCATCCAAGTCCATAAAAGTTGGAATGCAAATCATTTATCTGTTTTTTAATTTTTCATAAATTAATATTTGTACTCTTTTGGGCTTACAGATAACAAACAATTTTCAGAAGAAAGAAAATAAATTTCGAACAAAAAAAAAAACAAAATAAACCAATTGATAGAAAGTGGGTTAGAAACATTTAAAGCGCCCATTGAAAATAAAAAGAAAATTAAAAAAGAAAGTTCTTTAAATTGAAAAAAGCTTTCAAGGAAAATGCAGAGTGATGTAAAATGGAAACCAAGCATAAACAAACAGAGAAGCACGATTTGTGCACCAATGACCGGCCATAGATTCACACACCCACAGACGTCGACGTAAGAACGCCTCAAAGATGCATTGTTCGAACATTAAATTTAAATTTATTGCTGCCAAAGAATACGTAAATTCCGGTAGGTTACGGGTCTATTCCAACTGCAGGTTAAATGGCACATACGTACTGCTCGGAGCAGGAGCACAAGACGTAAATACGTACTTTGGCCTTAATAAAGCAGACTCTGTGCGTCAGGTTTTTTGTTGGAAGGGTATTTCGTTTGCTCTTCTGTTTATTTTGTTTTGCATGTGAAATTGTCGAAATCTGTGCGATAAATTTTAGTTACTTCGAAAATTATTGCTAAATTGTTTTCGGTAATGGGCTGTAATTGCTATTGTTGTATCATTCGAGTGGAGTTGTTGCACTCGCTCAGCAACGCTTAGTCACACTCACTGTATCCACACCACACTACGAATGCATAGTTTTGCACTCGTAATGAACTGCATAATGGAGACATATTTTATTTTATTATTTATATTGGTAGTTGTTGTTGTTTTGTTGTTGTTGTTGTTGTTTCTTGGCAAAGATGCTTTAGCAGCACTTTCATTTGTGTATTCAAGACAGTATCCAAGACGCAAATAAATTAACAAATTAAAAAGTAAGATTTCGTGATTATTTCAAAAAGTATCTTAAGTTTTAATCAATTTCTCCTTGAGTAGCCAGCCAAACAGCTACTAGGGGCAGTGAGGGTAAGTGCAATGCAATTGCCAGGATTTTAATAGATTTTCAGTGTGGATTTTATAAAATTGGGCTGTTAATTTACGGGTCTTTATGTGCCATTGCACATGAACTTAATAGTAATTAAATTTATCTATTTCAAGAGATTACATTTAAAATGTTTTTATTTACGAAATATTTGTATATTTTTACAATATTCCAGCAAATTTAATTAAAATTCAAATTCCGAAACTAAACACAAAAATACACATTGCATGATTAGAACGTAAAAATTGCATTGTGCCGGCCGCAGGAGAGCAGCAAACGCGTTCAAAATACATGAAAAAAATCAATGAATTTGATTTGAATTTTAATTAAACAGAAATTTAATTCAAATTTACTCTGCACATCTTCAAATATTTTATTAAAATAAAAAATATTTGCCAGCGAATTTTATATATACAACATTGAGTTGGCCAGGATTACTCCCACCAAAGGGAACCAGTTAAGTTTTTAGGTAAATTATTTTAAGTCATTTAAATCGTAATTAAAATGCATAATTTAAAATGCATAACACATTTCAAAACATCAAAAGACATATAAAATTTTGTTAAGCAATAATGTTTATTTGGTCCATATACCTGTTATATACTAATTTGATTGCATGTTAATATTTTCTTACGATTTTCGCTATTTTAGGCCCAGCAGCTTATAGTGCTATCGATGCTAGAAGAATCACAATGGCATCGATGCTTTATTGATGTGTTAAGCAGCTTTAAGGAAATTATTAATTAAATTATTAAAATTATTAATTTATTATTTTAAAATAAATATAATAAAATATATATATACATAAAGTCTTCCAAATATAAATCAATTTTATTTGAATTTGTTGATTTTTTGTTGATACTTTTGGATACTTTGCGGAAGCGAAAACCCACAAGTACCATTAACCATTAACCATTAAGTATCTGTATAAGTCCCGTACTTATGTTCTGCATAAATCTTTGAGTAGTGTACGATAGGTATAGAAAGCATTTTGCTATACTAAAGTTTATGTTTGAGTTAGTTACCTTGATCTGAGCAGATAATAGTGATAATAATCTGAGATGTAAGTAGTAATAATGGTAATAGATATAGTAATAGTAATAAATAGTCGAAAAAGTAAAAGTCGTTATTTATCCTAATTAAATACAAAAGTTTAAAGTTAACAAATTGCTTGAAATAAGCATATATGAAATATTTATTTGTTAAGCAATTTATTGGTTATACTATAAGCAAATGTACTTAAAAATAATTTGAAAATATTTTCTAAATGTGATTTAAACTTAAAATCTTAACTAATTCTAGTAATTTAACAACAACTGAGTATGTGAAATATCCAAACAATTTGCTAACAAATAAAACAACACTTATAATCACTAGAACAGCACACCGATTACGAATTTTGCTCTTAGGATAACACAGGAATAATTATTGCAAAACTTTAAGTGCTGATGCAAACAATGCGCTGGATATTTTAATACCAACCCAAACCGATACAAATAATTACTTAGTAGTTCCAGCACAAACCACAAACATATGAAAATATTCGAAAATCCATATCAACAAAAAGTTTTTGTGGAAATTCAAGGATTCTTTCGTAAATACTACATGTGCAATATTTACATGAGAAGAATAAATTTACATTAAAGAGCAAGTGCAGAAACAAATATTTAATTTAATTAAATAATAATTTAAAATCACACAATAATTTATTCCATTTAAATTGGGTTGAAGGGTGTTGTTGTGAATGGATCCATGATTATTTATTATTTTAACATGTAAGCAAATTCTGTTTACAGTCATTAGATACATTGCAGTTAAGTCAGTTTTGATGCTTTAGTGATGGGTGATGAGTGGCAGCCATCGACAAACCAGACTTGGGAACCTCATTAATTTCTGAAGTGGTCCAGTTGTCAGCTTATCACATCTTCACATTAATGCTCTTAGGTTCCGCTAACCAATCAGCTTACAAGCTCATACTGAACAAAGGTCACAAACGTTTAAAAAAGAAGGACACCAATTTTAGTTTTAAGATTTGTTTCACTTATTGTTAGTTTCTAAGTGAAAGATTCAATATATAATTTAAAAATGGAATCAAAAACAAAATATGTTCATCCGGTCATATAAATGATTTAGGACGTGTGCGAGTTAGGCTAAGATGCGTTCTAAATGAGGGAAATTCTAAGTTGTGCCGATAATGTAGTGATGTGTCGATACGTGTTGATATATGGCTAATGGTGTGCAGTGCAAAAAATCCCAAGAAAAGCCCCATTTGGTTTAGCATCAAATTAGCCTAACTCGCACACGTTTAATTAGTAAAACCAATGAATGCGCAGCTACATCTTTCCAACAATCGCGATTTTACGGTAAATTTTAGTAAAATATATTTATTTTTCATAAATACTATTAATTTATTGTAGCCACCACATTAATAAACAAATGAATTATTAAAACTTATCAACAAATAATAATAATATGTTTATGTTATAGTCTAAAAATAAAAAAGCTTTCTTACTGATAACAGGACTTAAATTCAAAACCAAGAAAGTGATTTGAGAACTTTATACGCTCATGTAAAACTCTACAAACAGTGAAAAAAAAATAAATATGAAACCACTCCCGAATTTCAAAGATCCATTCGAAACTCCAAAGAACCTATCCTTGTGTGTGGAATATGTATAAAATATTTAGACATAAATTTTTTTTTAATATCTAAAAGAATTCAATCTAATATGCTTATACAAACGAATCCAGATAATTCGAAAACGCGAGGGAATGAATTAGAGGGGTTTTCGATTTAACAAAGTTAAAAAGATAATAAAAAAAGAAATTAAAGGGGTCATGAATACACCAAAATTGTAAGGGTGGAAATTTATATTAAACACTCACCAGCCAACACCACGGACGCCTGCTAGTAAGATCAGTGAACTGAACACCGAGCCCAGCAATCGCGTCATACCCGATTCTAGGAGTCAACGGATGCTTTGATGTCTCGAACCGTTGTTAATAAAAAGCAAGTTAACTTGCTATTAAATTCGAAAGCTTGCTGAAAGTCAATCTAAGTATTATGTACTTAAAATCAATCTTATACTTCGTAGCTACCGTAACTACTATTATTAACCTTTAATTAATTATTGTAGTTAAACTCTCGATATAATTTAATTATTTTTATTAACGATTTTTTATTCATTTAACATTGTTTGGATGTGAAATTTATATTTTAGTGGAAATGTTATTGGTATGTGTAATTGACTGCAAAATATTGGCTTAACCGCATTTATACAACAGAACTGCCGAATAGCCAATATAAAAATAAATAAAAAATGGTGACTCATGAGTGACATATGAGGCAAAGCTACGACCGACAATGCAGTGCCAAGTTGGATTATATTTAGCATCAAACTGCCTCTTGATGTGAGCAGCGATATCCTTGTTGTCAGTATAAACGTCCTTTGCGAAATTAACCGCCTCGAACGCATATAACTGCAATTCCTGCGCCATATCTGATTTGATCACTTTTATAACGCGATCGCCTTGATTTTGTGCTTCGGCTGAAACGTTTAGGTTTAAAAAAAATTAATAATAATTTTTAAGTGTGTTTATTATATACAAATATATTAAATGTTAATATAAAAAAAGAAATACAAATAATTAAATTTTAATATAATAAATATATCGCACTTACGTTCCGGTGGTTTTTCCGGTGTAGCCATTGCTTAATAATAACTTGTTTTATCTAACTGTAAAAATATAAACAAAAATTTTCTATAAAAAATTTTTTTTTGCTTTTTTTTTAGCTTTCAACCAGTCCATAACTACTTGGTTTATTTAAAATTAAAAATTTAAACTAAACGATAAATTTTCTAATTATTATGTTGAGGCTAGTTGAATCAGTGCACTTGAGCACTTTTACTCTCTATTAAGTGCGAGGTTTCTTCATAATCAATAACTGACCTCAGAACTGCGTACCTTCCTGAGGAGCCTGTAACCGTTTCAAGATTCGATAACGCAGTGTTGGTAAGCCTGTCAGTGTTCGTAAATAGTTTCAGGGCTCTATCCTTTATGTATTTTTTGATCGGATCATTCTTGAGATCCCAGTGGATGTCATTCATCCTAATGTACCATGGCACCTTGAAAAATTTTTTAATGATAGTCTGCCAATATTTTACACAAATAACTTCTTTAACAAATGGTGTTCACTTGAAATATGTCTCAAGTCTCCTCCACGAACTAATGGCAGTAATTTCGAGCACATAATACGAGCTACTCGTAGTAACTTTGAGTAACTTTGTGTAAATGAGAGTAAATGAGAGCATCTGAGAGAGCGTAACATCCCTGTCAAAATTTGAAAATGTTACACAGACTTTATTCATACATTTTATTTCAAGCAAAATTTTTGTGATGTGTGAATCAGCTATTTTGATTTGAATTTGAATTTTTGTAGGGTTTATTTGCGCGGCACTGGTATTCTCACCAGATTTTACACAAAGCTGTTCCATGAAAATCTGTGTAAGAAGCGTAATTTAGCACTTTATTTGTGTTACGCTCTCAGTTTGTATTTTACTTGTGTTTTACTGGGAATATAGCGGAGTTGGCCTAGAATAAGCGAAGCGAATTTTATGCTTTGACGATTATATCAATATCTTATATCTTTCTATATCAATAAATAATTTTTTTATTCTACTAGTACAAAGTAAGATAATAACATTAGATCTTTATCATCAACATTCTTATCACTCATGTACTAATTCTTTAGTATAACATCAATAAATGTCAATTCTGAATTCTTTTCTATTTATTCTTAATTTATTCTTATAGCTAATTGACGAAATGACGACAAAAAACAAAATACCAAATTAGTGATCCCGAGATGGTTAACCGCCTGACATCGGGGTGATTTTAGTGGGTTAAGTTTCACACTGATTGGGTTTTCGATTTCTTTACGCTTCCTTAAAAATACAAACCTGGTCACATATAAAAATCTAGCCTTCTAGTCACTTTGTCCACCGTTGCTTACTTAATATTTATTTTGAGATAATGGCAAATAATTTACTACTTATAGTAAATTATTAAATCTCTGCAAATTATATTATCGAATCAGAAGGCATTGATATTGAAACATCACATCAAGCCATAAGTCTACATTAAAGATTGCTCCTGAGCAGCACTTAACTGTTAACACAATTATTATTGTTTAAATATTTGATTCAAAAGGTGAGCATACATTTAAAGTGCTTTAGCGTGACATTATAATGTTTTGCACTAACACTTTTAGAAGAAATTTAGTTATTTGTAAACGTGATTCTGGAGATGAATATGAAAATTATGTTTAGACAATTTCGCGTCCATTAAAGCAAAAAGAAACAAAATTATATTTTTGATTTTAATTATAGGGTAGCTAAATAATAAGAATAATATTATATATTATTAATATAATATCTATTATAATATTTATATCTGATATTTCTGATATTGTAATAAGAATATTATATTCTTAATTATAAAAAAATTCTCATTAAAAAAGAAAAACACAACAATTGTACGAATTTCCTACTTTTATACACAATGTTCTAAGAATAATTAATGAAAGTGCAATTCATTTGTAATCCTTCTCAGTAGTGAGCTTTAGTTTTCGAGCCTGCGGAAGAAAAACTTGACTAATTTAATGCTTGACTTAAAACTCCTTGCCGGTTAGTTTCTACTGTGTGGGAAAAGTGCTAGCACATGCTTCAAAAGGTTTGGACATGTGGGCTATGAAGACGTTGGTCTTTTTACTGTTTGCAGGACGATAAATAAAACCCCATGGATGCTCGTCAGCGCTGTCAGGTTAGGTTATAAGGTTATACCGGCGATTCACCAGAGAGCTTTGACGTGGCATAAAATACTATTTAGTCGGAGGACTTGAAGTTGATCAAGATCCTAAGTCGCCGCCGTGCATGACCTGGGCTCTTAAAGATATATCGCGTTAAACTCGAAAAACCGAGGTAAATATTTCGGTATGAGTGTCACTTTGGATAGTTAAAATGAGCTCTTTTTAGAAATTCTGTGTTTTTTGTTGTGTTGGTAGAAATTCGGAAAAGATGATTAATTTTTTAAAATATGTCTTTATTAAATATATAACAAAATCTGTTTTAACTTTTGTGCTCAATTTGCTTTTGAGTTTTTATCGTGTACATTTTTTGAGTTTTTGTAATTTCAAGTGCAAATTAAAACACCTTGGCAAGTTCACTATTGCAACACTTCTGCACTAAAGGATCAAAAAATAAAATAATGAAAACGGGAAAGTACAGATAATAGCTGCACACTTGTTATATGCAAATTAATTTGAAAAAGCCGATTTACGCTCACAAAAAACGTTTCAACGTTTCGGTGGGCGAAAGTCAAGCGCTGTGAAAAGCCAATGGTGAAGCTTAATGGCTTAGTGAAAAGTGAAATAAGTGAAAAAGTGAAAAAACATGGGAAAAACATGGAAAAAGTGAAAATAGTGAAAATAGTGAAAAGAACCAGTGCGAGTGAGGCCGCAAAGCACTTTGTGCACAATGTAGCACAAGTGCATTATGCACAGCTGAAATTGTTTTAATGATATTAAAGGTATGCGGAATTTCAACATCAAACTTTAATCTCAAAATTCAAAATACATATTTTATAAGCTATCAACATAAATTGCAAAAAGTTTAAATTGGCAAAAAAGCTCAACTCAACGAAATTTGGTTAAAAAAGTTAAAAACTGTGTAAATCTCTGTTGTTTTTGCAAATTGTGAATTATGGTACGGTTGACCAAGGTTTCAGCATGGCACAATCCAAATCTCTATACATGACTCCGGTACTTATACTTGTGCGCTAACAAACCACTACTGTAATATGTACAGGTTGAATATATATCTGCCCAGATGTGTATATCTGCTACTCAGATTCGTTCAAATGTGCATTTACTCGTGCACAAGTGTGCTCAGGTATGTGCTTACATTTCACACTATACGACCACACAAATACCATGCAGACAGTCGAAACAGACAACTACACAGGCAGATAGACAGACGCTATGACGGATACATGACCGAGAGTTCAAAAAAATCCAACAAAAGAGAAAATCTGCTAGAAATTTAGTTAGACAAACAAATCCACTTATAAAAACATATCTATATCTATGGGTTTTTATATTGCTCAGATATGTATATATATGTATATAGATACTAGTAAGTATGTGTAGATATATCAATGCATGTATTTTTTTGTCTGTGTTGGGACAAAAAATATATAACGTGTCTCTGCAGTTTTCTTTTTTTTTTGCATTCTTTGGGTATTTTTTCTTTGGCTTCATGCAAATCCTTGTACCACAAATGCTGTTTTTATGCTGGTTTGCGAACGTACAATGTTTGTGGCTGCGCATTTAGCTTATTTCACTTTGACACCGCAACGAGTGATGAATTTTCAAATTTGCATTCTGATGAATTACATAATTCATTACAGGTGCAGCACACTTTTGCATACAAACAAGATTAAATACGAGACAAACTGATACAATCTTCCCATATATGAAGAGCTCACATTTTTTACCTTCACTAGGTTATCTGGCAAACATACAGTATAAACTAATTACAACAAAAAAAAACGTTCTCACAAATAATATTAAACTGTTTACAAATCTACTCCTTGAAGAGAAATTTAAGAGCGCAGAGGAAGAAATTAATATTTCCATCAAGAACGCTATGTGAAATCGACTCATGCAGATGCTTAATTACTCTATAGTAAGTAAACTTAACACAAAAGATCTGCCATACTCGTAGCGCAACACTTCAATGGATATCCAACTCCCAATAAAAACTTTAATGACTAAGCAAGGGATTGCAATTAACACAGAAGAAAGCCATAGTTGAATATATTGGATATATATGTTAATACCCATAGACGGAAATACCATTGTTGACGTCAATAAACATTGCTAGATATGCCTTTGCTAATTTACTGATTTGAACATTTGCTATTGTGCGGAAAATCTAAACAGCGTTGATCAACCTTTGTTAACTTATGGAACTTATAAACTATTGTATTGAAAAAAAAAAAAGATTACTACAATCATGAAGTTACAAAGACTAGCGTCTAGGACTGTGTAACAGGAACAGGAACACTATGTATCCAAAAAGATATTCTAAAAATGTGAATTTCATCATATAGATACTCCCTACCAAATAAATAGGGGTATTTCGTAGATCACTGGACGCGCTATATAGACTAAGTCAGTTTACTAATCGTAAGAAGTTTGACATTTCAAAGAAATAATTTTCTGAAAAATCAATGTCGTAAGGCATAAAGCATACAAAATTAGTTTTTTAAGGATTGAGTAGAAAGATAAAATTGATATGTTGGATTTGGACACCCAAGCCCACTTCAGCGCAATTAATACCCCGTTGTAATCTGAGTAGGAATGTGCATTTGAAATTTATAAGACAAAACAGTATTTAAGAATGTGATACACAAACGGTTGACTCAGTTAAAGGGAGCCGGAAATATTTAGCTCGGCAATTAGCCTCACACAGACACACTATCATCTAAAAAGCTAGAAATATTAAATGGATTTATGTGCTTTAATATTTTTATTTATTAAATATATAAACAACGATTGAATGGCCAGACAGCCAATTCTGCACTCATTAAGTAACATCAAAATTAGTGACAAAGTATATTCAAAATTGTGAGTGTCGATATCGTGTCATACTGGGGACTGAGAGTGAAGATATGGTGTATT